GATAAGATGGTTTTATAAGAAAATGTGCTGGACAATTTTGCTTCTTTTCTTTTGACAATTCACAATCGAAACATGAATTCACATGAACATTTTACCTTGGTTGCATGGGATTGTGTCTTCATCTACGAGGATTCATCTAAAATAATAATAACAATTTCTATCTATTTAACAAATATAAATACACACACACAAGCTTAAAGCTTTCCTTTTGGCTAGAAAGATGGTGTGTCTGTTGCTGATGAGATCCTATGATGACAAATAAAAAATGTCCGACAACATTTCAAGCAAAGAGGTTTAACTCCTTCCTTGCTAAGGAGTTTCAAGTTTAAATCATCCAATTCCAAATTAACTATGGCTTTTGCCATTGATATTCTTGAATCCAGTCCTAAGAATATAAATAAGGACAATAACTCATTATGATCAACTTACTAGTTACAATACGAGTGACCTTTCTGTCTAAACAATAGTAATCTGTAAGGATCAACTTCTTTATTTGGTGGTACCAGTGCAACAAATATCTATAGGATACAAACTAAAGGAAAAACACTGTCCTAATATGTCCACAACAAAATAAATGAATTAATGTACACCATAAATATAAGAAATATATGAGCATTTACTGAGTAAGTCAATTTTTTCATCGAGGATACATGCATTGCCTGAAATTTTTCATAAGCATTAGTACAAGGATTAGGAGGTATTTTATTTTTACTGAGAATTCTTCTCCATAGCTGGAAAGTGTGATCAAGAAAGAACATAGAATGGGAAGAGATTCTAAGTCAAATTCATTTAACTACACTCAACACCCCTTACCCTTATACTCACAGAACTCTTAATAATACTGGAAGCTATAATTTGATTCTACAGTAAACATGTTTTGGAGGACAAATCATAATATGGCTATTTGGTTAGGTTATGTGGTTGGCCTGAAAGGGACAGTGTGGAAGTAGTTAACTGCTGTTACAACTATAGTTCAACCATCGGTAGCAAATGGTTATGCCTATTTTCAGTGAAGTAGGTATGCTGACATTTTCTGATGAGCAGTGAGAAAAGACAAAGCAAATTTACATGGGTGTGTGTGCCGTCTCTCAATTGATAACAACCAATTAAACACTTAAACTCCCAGCGTACACTTCCTTTGTGTCCCTCTAAACCTTTCTGTACATCGTTTGTTATACAACTTGCTGCATAAAACTTCTGCTACTTCTTCCCCTGCATGTTATGATTCACTATTACTTCACACAAGATCATTAATTGACACCTAGCAGTCCAGCATAGCACCAATTAACATAAAGGTTTGATCCCCAAATACAGGACACACACGATAACAACAACCACTATATTCTTTAAATCTCTCCACCAGGAGAAAACTCACAAGTTTGATCTTATATTTTAAAACCCACTTTATCTTGAGAAACAAAAAACTCGTGAGTTTGGTCTTACAAACTATTTTGTTGAAGTTCTAATAAGCATCCATTTCTTGTTTTTCAACAAAGGATTTAAAGCATACTTCCTCTATGCTTTATTATAAGTATAAAAAAAAAATTAATTTTATGCATATTAAGAAAATTAATTATTTACATTAAATTTTACTAATTTCATATTATTCTTCTAAAATTATCTTTGTTATAAATGTTAAAAGAAGTAATGCAATTGAAAGGTCATACATTAAATGAATAATATTTTAGACAGATTATCACTAAATGAAAAAAAAATAGTTAAAATTTATTTTTATTTAATAATAAAAAAAAGTAATTTTTTTTTCTTATAATAGAGAATAGTGGAAGTATTCGTTAACAAGATAGGATAAATTTGTATTTCCTTAACTATTTAGATGATATGGCTAATGGCTTAGCATCCATGTCTTCTACCATTTCAGCGCCAATTATATATTCAATATAATAAAGTGAAATATTCATCTTATGACTCTTAACATAATTAACATGTTACAACATTTTTCTTACCTTGAATGTTGAATCATGCGATCAACATGTGGTTTTATACCAGCCGAAATCAGCAGTAATAGGAATGGTTTCTTTATTTAGTTCAAAATCTTTTCTACAACCCCAGCAGAATGGTTGATCGAATTCTGTAGAAGGGCAACAAGGGACCAAATTGCAGTGTGATTTTTAGAATGTTTTTGTAGAGACATTGATTTCAACTTTCTTTAAGTAACTCATAGCAAATCAATTGCTACCTTTGAGACGCTAGAGTCACTCCCAAAGCAGGAAATTTCATAGATGAAATCGTTGCAGAGTCACTTTTGAAGTAACTCAAACAAGGTGAAATCAATACAAATAAATTTCCAACGAAAGTAGATAAATGTGTCACAAATATAAACAGTTAGAGTACTGGTCAAAAGATCTTGGTCATGCAACCTAGAAGTGAAACCTTATAATATACTACACAAGAAAAATCTTTTAGAAAGCAGTAAAGAAAATATCATACTTGGACAGGGCCAACAGCTGTTAATAGAACAGCAACACCACCTCAGGACCGGCAAGTGAGACACTCAATAACCAGTCCAAATGTAGAAAAGAAACTGAAAGGGGATAGTAAATGCCTTCAGATGATACTCTCTGTATTTTGTCTATCAAATCTATCACCATCTATAATAATCTTTGTACTAGCACAGCATGTCAAAAATCTGTTAGAGGGATAATTTGGTTCCATAATCTGGAAATGCGAGACTCCCTCCCCTTATATTTTGACAGTGCCACTTACATAATTAAGAGTAATGTAAATCATTAAATAGAAAATGAAGATAAATGGTGGCAGCAACATGCTTCTAACATACTATTTTAAACACACTATTAGTGATTAAAATTCATTAGTATTTACAAAATTATGTAGTCTAACTTCCTATTTAATGAAGTCGCTCTTAATTTTATAATTTTCAATAAATTTCAACTAATAATATAAAATTTGTGACAATAAGTGTCCAAGAATATCCTGTTAGCATGAACCATTAAGGTTAGGTTGTCTTAGTGGTGAGAGAATTGGAATATTCAATAAATTTCAGCTAATAATATAAAATTTGTGACAATAAGTGTCCAAGAATGTCCTGTTAGCATGAACCATTAAGGTTGTCTTAGTGGTGAGAGAATTGGAATAGAATGTATAAAGTCCGAAGTTTAAACATTGTTGCAGTTATTATATTTCCTACTGATAAAAAACATAATATTCTGTTAGCATGCCTCAGCAGACTGATTCTTAAATCAGCAGTTTGCGTAGAAGTTATCAATTGGTGTATTTTGATTGTGGCTGGCTTCTCTTTATGTGCCAAGTAGGCCAGATGAAAAACAATCAATCATCATGTCAAGTTATATCAAGACTCAGATAATAGTTCCAAACTAGATGCTAAACAAAAGTATATCTAACAAAATATTAACAAATACACCAGTACTCAATCATCTTAGCTTCCTACTCGTACCAAATGTCTAAGTCAGTAGTTTCCCACTATTTACAACACAAACCCAAGTTTTCACGAATCAATCATAATTGATAACTGAAAAAACATAAAATTTCATAAGAAATAGGAACAGGTGAATTCTCTAGGAAGCAACAATTAATGGAATACTGGTTGACAAAACAGGATAACATCTTCAGTTGTGAGGAAGCTTTACGATTTTTTTTAGAACCACAGTCCTACCCTTATAATGTCTCGGCTACATACATGTATCAGCCTGGACTCCTAAATCTTCAACATATTTCTTTAAAAAAAACCCACTTCTTCTTGATCTCCTTTATTGCAACCTTCACAGCTTCTTCCTCTATGGAAAAAACCACATTCTGCAAGAAAGACTCAATCTCAACTTCCAGCCGATTAATAAGAACCTAGATGTTGTCCAAGTCCTTTATAGCAACATAGGTGCCAACTTGCACGGAGATGGTTAGATCCTTATGTCCTTTTATGGCATTTTCATATTTCTTCAACAAGGAGTCAATTCACTTTCCCATTGAACCAATTAGGATTTCAGTAACAGACACAACTGAGCAGATTAATACAGCAGCAACTGCAGTTACTTTGCTACAAATATCATGCATGAGTCCTAACTCCAGATATGGATTTGTTTTATTTTCTTCTCAAGCTTGTTTTGTCGACTCACAACTTCTCAAGAATGAGTATCTGTTGCTTGTAAACAGATTGATACATTTGGAAGAATTCTTCAACGAAAATGTGACGACTGCCTTAAACAGCGAAAAGGCTTCAACAGAAGATTATATTATAATAGCTCTCAATTTCTTGTTCTACTCTTTCAATTCAGCGAAAAATAAAAAACTTTAAACTACCGTCACATTAGCAAGCCTTTATTGCACTAGAATGGATGAAGTTTGTCAAGAAGAGAAACCATATGTAAAAAAAATAAATATATTAATAAAAATAACCTTCCCTAAAGTGCTTAAGAAAATAGGAATACATATATCACTAAGCCTTGGAAAAAAAAGTTGAATAATTGAGTCATACACTCCATCAAATTCAATTATTCTTAACTCAGAAACTGATGAATTTGACATAAGAAAATGCGTAGTTTGTTCATAAGTAAAAGACGCTAATTCTTGAATTCTCACTTCCCACGTCAGGCATATAACATAAAGTCTCTGGTTATGCAATGAGACTCCACACATATCTAGCCACACAAAACTGAGTTTATTCATGTATGAATACTTAGTTCAATTTCCAATCACGTTGATAACATTGGAGGTACAATTCACATTGCAAAATTGCCATGTACAAGAGGGCACAGTTTCTACACTTTAGAAGGCTGATTTCAATGTTGTTTGTGCAAGAAGACATTTTGTTGAAATTAATATACCGATATAGTTCTATACATGGCAAATAACCCCTTTGATTGAAAAAAAGAAAACTACAAATTTAGAATTACAAAGTGAAAAAAACACAGAAGCAGACAAGTTGCAACTCAAAACATACAATGGGAAGCTTCAAGAATGATCCTCTAAGAAACTGACACAAAAATTATAGCTTCCCGTTTACAAAAGAATCTCAAAATTCCTCATTTTATTGGTCATAGATAGTAAATAGAAGATACAAACAAAAATCAGTTACATCAATTTTTTTCTAAGATCTTCTCTACACATAAGTCAGGAAGATGAAAATTATCCCTGCTAAATTTACTCACCAGAGAATGAATTGTGCTTTCTTTAAGTCTATATCCTATTCTAAACATGAAATCTAAAACAACCAAAATATCATCCAACCTATCCTCTTGTGACAGACAGGTAATCAGGTATTCAAAAGTCTGCTCCTGGGGTTTCAGCTTCCAACTCAGCATGTTTAGCAACCATTCTTTTCCTTGCACACAATTTCCTTCTTTACATAATCCAGTTATAATATAATCATGTGTACAAGCTGTTGGTTCCAAATGCCTATCATGCATATCTTTCCACAACCTTATTGCGCCCTGTGTGTCTCCCACTTCACAAAGCCCTTTTATAAGAGGATTGAAAGAGAAAACTGATGGCTCTAAACCATGTGCCAGAAGTTCATTTAATAGTTCCGTAGCCTTAACTAGCTCACCTTTCTTGCAAAGGCCTTTAATAAGGGAGTTGTATGTAATCAAATCACAAACAATTCCCTTTTGAAACATTTCTTCAAACAAGCTCAATGCTTCATCTGTCCTTCCATGCAGACACAAACCTGAAATCATTGTGGTATAGCAAACTGTGGTTTCTGCGTATCCTCTACCACGCATATCCTCAAAGATCTTCCTCGCCTCAACAAGATCACCAATCTTACAATACCCATGCATCAAAACATTATAGGTGTATTCATTTGGCTGAAGTCCTTTTTTAATCATCTCAAACCACAGCTTCCTGGCCTCCCCAATCGATCCCATTTCACATAGACCCTTGATCACTGTTGTGTACATAACCCTGTCTGGAAAATATCCTCTGTCCTTGAGATCATTAAAAACCCGGAAACCCTCAGAATTCTTCCTCTTCAAGAGTCCATTGATGATTTCTTGATAAGTAAAGATATCCGGATTACAATTCTTGGCAATCATAATATGAAGGATCTCAGATACTCTAGCATAGTGTCCCTCCTTACAAAACCCACGTATAAGTGCATTAAAAACAACATTATCAGGATGCAAGCCATTTCCCAGAAGTTCCCTAAGAAGCTCATACCCTCTGAAAGCGTTGTTTTCTGCACAGAACGCCATTATGAGATATCCAACAGTTTCAACGTTAATGCTAGCAAAAACACCAGATTCCATCATCCGTTCATACAATGTCCAAACCAGATCAGTCCTCCCAGCCCTCAAACAACCCAAAAGAGAAGAATTCCAAGTTGCAAGCGAGGGGCAAAAGCCAACCCCTTTTAACATATGAACCGCATCTTCAACCATCCCAGCCCCAGTGAGACACTGAATGTAACTCTCCAAGGAAGAAGGATCGGGGACGAAACCCGAGAAATCAAGCAAAGACTTTGCTGCTTGGCAGGCTCCAGCATCCACAAGCATACGGAAAAGGGCATTGCAAGAAGATTGGTGAGGTGAGAAAGCACAAGAAGAGCAAAGCCAGTGAAAGAATCGAAGGCAGAGGAAGGCGTTGTTCTGTTGCTTAAGATAAAGGAGGAAGAAAGAGGGGTCAGAAAAATCGAAAGATGGATAGAGTGAAAGAAGGGTTTCCTCCCAACGGGGCTTCGTTCGAGTAATCCTACAAATTTCATGGATCATAAAGTTGCAATCTTTAGCATCTAGGTTTTTGGTGTCAGAGGTGAGGTTTCGGAATTGGGCAAAGATTCCGCGGAAGAAAGAACACGAAGAAGTTCCTCTCACCATTGCCATGGTCATGGTTATGGGATTGGTGCATGCAGCCCAAACAATACGAACTTGAGTGTGATCAAAGTGAAGCACTTATCTTGAAAAGGAACAAATAGAAATGAATTTCAATGGAAAAACGAATGAATTGAGATAACGAAAGTACGGAACCTTTGGAGGGAGGGAGAAGTGCGAACAACGAGTGTTGGGGCTGTGACACGCACGTGAGCAGATGAAGGGCACTTGCACTCTTGGATTATGCTGGTTTTGGTGAAAGAAGGGTTGAAATTTGCAATGGTGAAGCTTAGAAGAGAAGGAGAGAGAGGGTTGAACTTAACACAAGTCTTCTTGATCAAACTTTAAATTTGTGATTCAGCATTAAGGGTTGATTCACATCTTAAACAAAGTGAGGAATTCGAATCTTGCTTTATGTATAAAAAAAACTTGCATTACATCTTTTCTGATTTTTTTTTAAAAATTACAAAAATAATCATAATAAGATTGAAACTAAATTCTCATAAACTCTTTCTCACCTAATCACTAGGTTAACTCCAGTAGTCTACCTTTCCTGAGTTTACACTAGTGAGTAGTAATTAATATTCACAAATAAAATAATAATAATAATTAAGTAAAAGATCCTTAGCACCAAAAATCTATAATTTATTAATTATTATCATTATAATAATAAATAGTAAATATTATATGAGAATTGTAACAACAACAAAAAATATGGCAATTATATTTATTCTTTTTCAACTACTATATTATTTTATTCTTTTAATTCATAAATATATAAATATAGTAATAATATTATTGCAATGAGTATATATTCTAATATGAAATAATTAATTTAATTATGATCAATGTATATAAAATATTTTAATTTTAATTAAGGTAATTACATTATTTTAAAGTAAGATAATTTGGAATAGTTACCAATGGTGTATATATTTTTTATTTTTCCTTCGACCACAATTCTTTTGCGTGGCATTCAGCAATACTTTTTACTGTTTTTTTTCTTTCTACAAAAGGTATATCTTTAATGTTGAGTGGTGAAGAAATCATACTTCTATTTTAAAATAAAATGTCTATGTACGAAGTTTTAGATTTTTTTTTACGTTATTTTTTAATGGTTTAAACGAAATATCAGAAGATGTTCTCTTTTGATTCGCAAGATGCATTAGAAGACTACAAAAATTGGCCAAGAAAGACAATAATTTATTATTCGATTCACCAAGTAATGTAAGTTTTTGTTAAAATATATGTAATTGAGGTTTTTTTTTTCTTTTCTATTTATACGAAGGCAAAAGTATGTTAATCATTATTTACGCATACTTTTGTATTTATGATATTTTATTTACATATATATTTTAATTGATTTTTTTTTATAGAAATCAATTTTAAAAAATAACTGATATTTATCACTGTTATAAAAAAGATTAGTAAACATTCATATTGTTTTTGTTTATATAAAAAGTTTATATTTTTTATAAATAATAAATTAATATAATTTTTTAATATTATAATTAATCTAATTATGATTCATATATAGAATTAATATGAAGGAAAAGTAATCAATCATCATGTCAAGTTATATTAAGACTCAGATAATAGTTCTGCCAACAATCTATATGTTAAAACATAAATATATCTTACAAAATATAATCAAATACATTGGTACAATGTTGTCTCACAAAAGAATAAGTTTTAGCTTCCTACATATACCAAGTGGCTATAAGTCAGTAGCTTCCCATTATTTACAACACAAACCCAAGTTTTCATGAATCAATGATAACTGAAAAACATCAAATTTCATAAGCAACAAGATTAGGTGAATCCTCCAAGAAGCAACAATGAATGGAATTCTGGTTGACAAAACATAATAACATCTTCAGTTGTGGGGAAGCCTTATGATTTTTTGTAGAACCACAGTCCTAGCCCTTATAATGTCTCGGCTACATGTATCAGCTTGTACTCCTAATTCTTCAACATTCTTCATAAAACACTCCAACTTCTTCTTGATCTCCTCTATTACAACCTTCACAGCTTCTTCCTCAATGGCAAAATCCACATTCTGCAAAAGAGACTTGATCTCAACTTCAAGCCGCTCGATGAGAACTCGAATGTTGTCCAAGTCCTTTATAGCAACATAGGTGCCAACTTGCATAGAGATGGCTACTTCCTTATGTCCTTTCATAGCATTTTCGTAGTTCTTCAACAATGAGTCAATCCACTTTCCCATTGAACCAATTGGGATTGCAGTAACAGCAGCTATAGCAGCTGCAACATGTGGAGAAGCAATTGCTGCAGCCACAACTGAACAGATCAACACAGCAGCAACTGTAGCAACAAATATCATACTTGACACCTTCCTCCAGATATGGATTTGTTTCACTTTCTTATCAAGCTTGCTTTGCCGGACTTGCAACTTCTCAAGCATGAGTATCTGCTGATTGTAAACAGATTGATACATTTGGAAGAACTCTTCAGTGAAAGGGTCACCAGCTGCCTTGAAATTCTTCAGTTCCTGTAATGTCCTTGTATAGTGCTTCTTTTCCAACCCGGTTTCGTCTTCAAACTGTTGAAGAGCCACGAGGATAAGCAACTGGTTGTCCCTAGCTCGCTTCAGACACTTCTCTAATGCAGTACAGAAATCTAGAGTCAGCAAGCTGTTATCAAAGTACTCCTCAACAAGCTCAAACAGTTCTTGGTTCTTCCATATATCTTTCTTACAGTCAAGGATTACCTTGACAACTTCCTGGTTCATCTCAAGAAGGCATTCCGTGACTTGTTTGAGAGACTCAAACGAAAGGGACCGAACTTCGACTCCAACTGCAAGAGTATTGATGACTTGATTCGCTCGAACTTGAAGGGTGGTGTCAAAAGACTGCAAATCAGAGTCGATCTTGCAGGCAGCTTCATATGACCTCAGTTCAGTTGCCATATCAGTATTTAGGTTAATACCAGATGATGTTTCAGGGGCCTTCTTGCTTATATGCCCTCCCATTTCTTCAATTAAAATGACCTAATAAAGAAAAAACAGAATCAATTTCAAATCCAGAACCAGTTTATGAGGGGGCAAAAACATCAGTTCCACCAAGAAATTCCTTAAACAATTGGTAAAGTAAAAAGTACCCTGTTTATGATTATGGGTGCAATATTCTGAGAACAAAAATCTTGGCCTAATAAACCCAACAAATTTGAGGGTAAATACGATCTATTTCAAACAAACCAATCACACATAAGAAACTTTACCTTCTCACAATCAACTTCAAACAAACCAATTAATGGATACTATTGACATCTCAGAATTGCACACATTATAGCATCTCACAATCAACTTCAAACAAACCAATTAATGGATACTATTCCCATCTCATAGATTTGCATACAAGAGAAACTTTAGCATATCAGTATATCACAATCAACTTCAAACAAACCAATTAATGGACACTAGTGCCATCTCACAGATTTGCACACATGAGAAACCTTACCGTATCACAATCAACTTCAAACAAATCAATTAATGGATACTATTTCTATCTCATAGATTTGCATACATGAGAAACTATACCGTACCACAGGAATCACAAAAAGCACAAGACTCCGTGTTATGAAGAATCATGAACAAGTGGAATGAATCTAACAGACCCAGATAGAGAATTTTGTAAAGTTCAAACCTTTGAAAGCGATTGAAGAAGATAAGAAGCCCCAGACAGTGATTACGACGAGAGCTAGATCCAACAACCGAAGGTGTCACCCTTTAAACCTCTTTCTAAAACAAGGGAAAGAACTTGAGTGGGAAGAAGATGTTGAAGAGAAATACAAGTGTTATTTAACAACAAATGTGGGAGCTTTGAGGTGTGTCAATGACTTGCACGCATAAGAAAAACTATGTGAAGACGCGGGAAGCAAAGCAATGCACCTTCTCTCTCTCTTGGAAAACTCGCTTCTGCTTCTGGGTGTCTCCGTGTAGTGGCAAAGATTATCCTCTCAACGCGCAAAGGAGCTATGAAACAAGGCAAGGGTTAAGCAAAGTGAAGTAGCACAAGTCTCGGAAGAACATAAAAGGTGAAACAACAACTAGATTCCTTTTAGATCTTGCGTTATTTGTTCAACAAGTTTCCACATAAACACGTTTTGGTTTTTCCCCCTTAAATTACTAAGATATACATTTCAATTTTTATCTTATTTTATGCGGTTTGACTTACACTATCAGAATTTTTTACTGAAATAAATTTTTTTTAAAATTTTTTTACTAAAACAATACTGTTCGAATTTATTTATAGAAGTAGCACCTTTTACTGTTCACATTAGAATTCGGTCTCCAGGAAACCGAATTTTGAATTTCAATTTTTTTTTGTTTTTTGTTTTGCTTAGAATTCGATTCTTGGAGAGCTGAATTCTGAGTATGTTTAATTTTTTTTTCTTTTCTGTTTGTAGTTCAGGTTGTATGTTAATGTTGCAACTTGAACGGCCCGTTCTCTAAGCAGAACGGGTCGTTCTGCTTGCACGCGTAGTCTGTTAATTTTGAAACTGTTACGTCCAAGCAGAATGACCTGTTTTGATCCCTTCGTCATGTGTGTATTTTTTCATCCGGAACGGGCCGTTCTGAAAGGAGAACGGGCCGTTCTAGATCTAGTTTTACACCATGCTCAGATCCAAAACGCAAAAAAAATAAAAATTAACAGCTCAGAATTCGATTCCTCGAGAACCGAATTCTGAAGAGTGAAAGGTGTTACTTGGGTAAATAAATTGGTACAAGTGGTTTTTTGATAAATTTTTTTTAAGGTGCTTTTTTGGTAAAAAATTTTTTTAAAAAAATTCTATTTTAGTGAAAAATTCTACACTATCAACTAATAAAAAATATTTTATATATAATTTTAAAATAATTATTATAAAAAACAGTTTTATTATATAATAATATATAATTAAATAATAATATAAAATATTATAATATAATTATATTTTAATTAAATTTATATCTTAAAAAAATATATGTGTCAAACTGTAAAAAAACTTATTTTTCTTATCAATAAAATCTGAGGAGGATATTAATAGTTGTGTCCTTATATTAATATGGAGGGAGCTTTACTCAATAAATATCTCCCTTGTAATATGAAAACAAACAAAATCATTAAATTGTTAAGTTTGGATCTAACTTTCTCTTGATAAAACAAGTGGAACATTCTAATTTCTACATCCGAATTTATTGTATTAAGATAATATAAAAAGAAGAGCATGAATCATAGTAAAAAGGGAGAAAAAGACAACATTCTAGTTTTTGCTTCTAAAGTCATAATGTTACACTTGGAAGGTGGGATTTTGAAAGGAACTCTCAGTCTAGCTGCTATATATGTTTCAGACATCTGTGTTGTTTTATATTTTTATACCATCTCAGTGTACTTGAAGGGCAACAAATAAAGTAAATGACAGTAAATAACAAAATAAAAAATAATAATGGATAAATACAAAGTAAGATATCTGAAATATAATTTCAAAAAAAATCTGAAATATGTTACTTTGTTTTTTTTTTCAAAAGTTTTTGTTATTTAAATTAATCCCTAACTTGCTAGCAAATTGTACCGTTTCGGTATGTTTCCGATACGGTCAAGGGAGGAGTCGGAATACGGCCGACCTGGTTCTGGCCCATGCGTAAGAGCAATCAGAATTTAACCTGGTGATCACGGTAAAAGCCCGATCTCATATTGGTCACGCTGGTGAACTCGACCTGGTTGGTGGATGGACTCGGCCTGGTTGGTATCGGCCAGGATGGACTCGGCCTGGTTGGTATCGGCCAGGATGGACTCGGCCTGGTTGGTATCGACCAGGATGGACTCGGCCTAGTCGGTGGATGGACTCGGCCTGGTTGGTATCGGCCAGGATGGACTCGGCCTAGTCGGTGGATGG